TTGGAAGACAGTGTCCCACGGAGAGGACTGGAGCCTGCCTCTCCCTCACCAGTGTCTGCTTTGTGCCCTCAATCCCCGTGACTCCCCTCCCCTGACGCCCCCCATCCCATCACTCAGTACAGGAAGCCAGATTACTTAGCCTTCGTGTAAACTAGCATTTCAGGGTGAACCCGAGGGGGAGATGTGGAGGCAGGAGAAAAGTTCCATCCAACGGAAGACAACCTCGCCCCTAAGTTACACCGTGACAGATAACTGCAGTCACGGGGAAGCCTGCCACACCCTCAATTGTGCCTTTCTTCCTCCACCACGTGTTAAAACGTGGAAGCAAAACTCCCATGGCCTCGTGAGTCCACGGGGTAAGAGGGACAATGTTGACGTGGAGGGAGCCACTCCATATCTGGAAGGGGGCCCACCCTCGGCGACAGCCACCTGGGGAGCCATGGATCCGGGTTCTGCTGAGGAGCTGCTATGAGTCAACCCTGTTGGGATTTGGGGGAACTGAGGTTCTGAAAATTCAGAGCCACGTGGAAAGCCACGGTCTTCACCAGCCTCTCCCCTTTGGCTCCCACCCCTCTAGAATTTGCTTTCTCTGGTTTGGATTGGGTCCTTCAGGGAGGGGTGCAGAAATCTTGTGTTCTGGAAAATCAGCCTGAGGTTCCTAGCAAATTAACCTTTTAAAATCAATCAGCTTATCCCCCTCCCCCACCCCCAAATTTCCTTAAAGAGTCACCCTGTAACCTGCTACCTGATAATCTTCCTCCATGAATCAGACTGGCTTTTTTTTTTTTTTTTTTTTGGACAATCTCTAGTGGTGTCACACCTGCAAAAACAAACAAAAAAACCCAAACAAACAAAACCATGCCATTGTCTAAAGAACAATTTGAGCTTTTTGCCGGTCCCATTCCACATAGCCTTATAGATCTGTAAACTGGGGGCTCACAAAGTAATATATTGTGTTATGGAAGATATTTTGTACTGTGTTGTTTCCTGAATCATACCAATATTCTAGAAGTGATGCACTTCCCAGATGACTCTGATCCTCAAAACACTTTGTAAGAAGGGGCGGGGAGTGAAAATACATATAAATACACTATATTTTCCGAGCCTTTCTTCTGAGTCCCTTCCTAAGTCATGGCAGGAAAGAAACTGGAGTCCCGTGTACAGGAAAGTTACACCTGCTGCCTGCTGGCGTTCTTGCAATTGCCTTACGAATTCACAAGCTCTAAGGGGTTCTGAACAGAAGGTGGACGACAGGCACTTTCTTCAATCCCAGAAAGAATCTCTACTCGCGTGACTGAGAATTCATCTAGAAAAACCTATATTTTTAACGTTGAAACAAACGGGGCTTCCTGGACCTCACAGAGTATTGGGTATCTACAAGTGCTTTTATATTTTGTAACTGTAAAGAGGTTTCCTACGCACAGAAGAACAGTTGGGGACCTGGCCAACTGCCGTCACACAGAATGACCTCTGCATGTACAAAGATGTTGCATTCAGACCATGAAAATAGCAAATAAAGCTTTGATGCAAGTTGCACTGAAGAACTCGGTGTGTCAGTGTGTGGATGAATGGGCTCTCCCATGCATGCATGCCCGTCCCCAGCTGAATCGGTCTGTTGTTTGCTGAGCTGGGGGCCACGTGGCAGGAAGCGGGGAGCTGGGGTCCTGGGTGAGAGGGACCCATGGAGACAAAGCAGAATTTCCATTCAACATGGGCTTGAATCCTCACTCTGCCTCCTCCCGGCTGTGAGATATCGCTGAGCATCGGAGCTCCCATATGGGGGATGGTGTTAGTGACCTTAGTGGGCAAGAGTTGAAGGCAGTGGTTCTCAACTGGGTGGATTGTGCGCACCGCCCCCCACCCCCGCCATGACACCTGGCAAAGGCAATGACGGGAAACATTTCTGCTTATTGCAAAGAGGGAAGGGAGATGCTGCTGGCATCTAAGGGTAGAAACTGGGGATTCTGCTCAATATCCCCACAGTGAACAGGACGGCTCCCCCACTACCAAGAGTTAACCGGCCCCAGATGGCAATAGTGCCAATACTGAGAACTCAAGCCCAAGGAAAGGAAACGTGGTGTGTGAAGGTGCTGGGTACACAGTAGGTCCTTGGGATCCTAAAGGATCTGATGGGAGGAAGTCGCACCAGCTCTTTTTTCCCTCTTAGATCGCTAGTAGGTGGTGGCTGCATCCCAAGGTTGGGGTAGAATCCACCTCTGCGTTCTGTGGTCACCAGCAGGAGGTAGTCCCCGGGTTTGAACTATCAATAGTGGGCAGGATCCTCAGTGAGTGGAAGCAAGAAAGTAGCAGCCTGAGCTGAGCGCTTGGTTCCATGATCTCTCTGTGGTTGTCCATTTACGGGTGCTGCTGACCTCCCGCATCTCACCTGAAGTCACACAGGTCCACCTGCTTCCAGAGGGCAGCTACCACCCACAGTGTCCCACCACCATCTCCAGGGGTGTGGGGTAACCGAGTTGTAGGCCGACTGGAGGACTTTAGCCAAAAATCATGACAAAACCAAACCCTGTTCTGTAACAATTCACTCCTTGGCCCTCCCTCCATTTTAGTCTTCCAATAATCACTAATTATACTTAGAAAATGCATGCACCTATGTTTTTGACTTGGATTTGTTTCTTGGTTTCTTTTTTTAAAAGATTTTATTTACTTATTTTACAGAGATCACAAGTAGGCAGAGAGGCAGGCAGAGGGGGGTGGGGGGAAGCAGGCTTCCTGCTGAGCAGAGAGCCTGATGTGGGGCTAGATCCCAGGACCCTGAGATCATGACCTGAGCTGAAGGCAGAGGCTTAACCCACTGAGCCACCCAGGCGCCCCTGTTTCTTGGTTTCTGTTTGTTTGGGTTTGTTTCTTTTGGGGGGTCACAAGGCAACTATCATAATCACCTTTCTTTCTATTAAAGCTAAGATATAGGCCCTGTGGCAAGCCAGCCCCTCCTTCTTTCTGCTGTGTGACTTGGGGTAAATGATTTCACCTCTCTGAATTCAGTTTCTGAGCCATCTTTGAAAGGGGGATTGCAATTCCTTCCCTAAAGAGGCTGGGGGAGGATTAAACATAATGTTCATGAAGCTGGCACAGTGCCTTGCACACAGTAGGTCTTCAATAAATGGGAGTTGTCCATGTATATGCCTTCTATAGGAAGAAAATAAACCTTTGTTGGCTCTGTTACAGCATCCCATGGAAACCCAATTTGAGGGTTATATTTCAGGTCATCTGACCTAAACCTTAGGCCATGTGGCCCATGGGAAAACTGAGTGATTCTGGAGTCCCTCACTTTAAGGGCTGGTGTCCTTCCAAGGCTGTCATTCACCCAAACAGGAAGTAATGGCTCCGGGAAGCCCAAGAAAGGGCACTGGAGAGCTCTACACCCCAATACACCCACCTAGTGCTGTCAGGCTTACCACAAAGCTGATGAGGTCCGTCAGCCCCCAAGACGCCATCAGGGGCCATGGCGGAGGGACACAGGCACTGGGGCCTCCTGGGCCTGCTATTGGAGTGAAATGGCCTGAACGGAATTGGGTGGACAGGGCGCTATGTCAGCAGGCTGAGATGTGCTGGGCTGTCGAAAAGCGCCCATAAATAGGACACTGCTAGCAAAGGCAGACTGAGTCTGCAGACGGTGCTGGCCCCTCTGTTCTTCCTGAGGCTACAGCAGCAGGTTCATTCTGGGACGGGCAGGGTCGGGGAGGCGAGGGCTGCACTTGCAGGCCCAGGCCATTGGGGATCTCCCTGCAGTGTGCACGGCGGACCCCTGCACAAACTGGGGACTCACTTAAGGTTTGGAGCCAAGAGGGAGGACCCCTTTGAGCCACCAAGCTCCACTGGTGTCCGAGGGAGGTGGCCAGGGTTGAGCCCCTGGGCAGGTGCTTAGGGGAAGGGGGCCTCCAAAGACTGAGCATAGCTGGAGTGGGGGAGAAAGCCAATTGGAAGACTGCCAAGGATCCTGGGGGTCTTCCAGGAGCTGGCACTGGGTCTGTGTCTGAAAAGGGTATGGTGTGCTTGTGAGAGAGAGAGGGGAAGGCTGTCATGTTCAATGGGTGTGATGTGACTGTGTGATCACAGGAGCGTGTGTGTGCACGTGTGTGTGTGTGTGTGTGTGTGTGTGTGTGTGTGCTGATAAACTGAAGAACAGTCCCATGTATCCGTGTGTCATGGAGATCATGACAATCCTCCCATGACTACCTTGTCATGACTACCTTGGGTCCTGTCCCCACAGGGATGAAGGGGAACTGTCTCTCTGTGTCTGTGTCTCTTGAAGTGGCTGGTATACACTAAGTGCTTCATAAATGCACATGGAATGAAAAACCAAATGTACGGAAACTGGGCTGCTGCAGGTGTTCCAGGACCCAGTTCCGCATCATGCTTTTTCTAGATGTCTGTCTGTCCCTTTCCTACCAGTCTGTGGTCTCCTGTTCACCCCGGTCACCCAGCAGCAGGCCAGGCACTGAGCAGGTACTCATAGAATCTTTGTTGGACAGAGGAATGAATGAACAGAAGACTAGCCCAGAGCGTGGAGGTGGGAGAGATCCCTGTAGAGGAACCCCACTGAAGCCCACACTTTAGCAGGGTCCAGGCATGGTGTGTCTACACGGAACTTGAAGAATCCCATTTTGCGTGGCGGGAAGCAATTGGCTGAAGGGGAAGGGAAAGGGCAGGCCTTTTGGAGGCAGGCCCCCTCCTGGTGGCTCCCTCACTGTGTGCCTTGGGGAAGTGGCTTCAGCTCACCGGGCCTCAGGTTTCCCTCTATGAAATAGGGATCCTGAACCCACTGACTGTGCCAGTCCCTGTGGCCCATGATGGGCGCTTGGTGGATGTTTGTTGAATGACTGAATGACCGAAGGCAGGGAGTGATGACCATGTCCCATAGGCAGTCCGGCTGAATGCTCATCTTTGACTTCAATCACATCAGCACCTGGTGTGGCCCAGAAGGGACCTGGTGACTCACTCGTTTTCCTTTGGTTGGAGCCAGAGGTGTTCCTGGGGACATGGCGGAACAGCACGGAACGACAGAGCAGGCTGCGGCTGGCAAGAGCCATGGAGGCCTTGGGGGCAGCTACAAGGTATAAGGCAGGGAGGGGTCCCAGGGGCTGTGGGGCTGGGGTTGCCCTTGGGCCTTGGGGTCAGCTTCTCTGCCAGGCAGAAAGGAACAGTGGCCCTTCCAGCCATCAAGGGCTGGGAAGACACCTCGCTCACCATGACTGTACTGCGTCTCCTCTCTTCTGTGTCCTCATCTGCAGAAGGGAACTGGTAGCCCAAATGCAGCCTGACTCCATGGGGCAGAGATACCCGGGGGTCTCAGGAGACAGGGTGCTGACTCTCCTGCCTGACCTCAGTCCAGTTCCCCAGCTTCTCTGGGCCTCAACAGCCCCATCTGGAAAATGGGAGCAGTGCTCCCCATCTCAGCCCCCAGAATTGGTGCTAAGGAGAATTCCAAAAGTGAGAATTTGTCAGCTCTTCCCTTTCCAAGCTGTTCCTAGGGACTTTAATCTGAGACAGGGTCTGAGGATGGGCTGACTAAGAGGATAACTGTGGGCAAGGGCATTCCTTCAGATGTGCTGGTGGCTTTGAAGAGAGTGGAAAAGAAGCAGAGGCCTGCCCGGCACAGGGCCTTATTGGTGGGAGCAGAGGGCTGGTCTAGGGACTTCTCAAGGCCTTTTCAAAGCCCCAGAGGCAGCTGCCCACCATGAAGGTGGGTGCCACTGCCGGCTCTTCCTGTTCCCCTGGCTCCTGTGGGCCATGCCCTGTCTGCACCAGGGCAGGGGAGAAAACCACCAGGCCACTTCTTGAATACTGGTGCTTCTACCTAATGTGCTGTGCAGCCTGAGACAAGGGACTTACCCTTTCTGAACCTTCTATAAAATAACCAGAACAGAGGTGTCCCCAGGGATCTTCTCTGAAGACAGTTTGTGCTTCTAGGTGGATAAGATAGGTGTAGCCTTCCTCTTCCTTTGCAGCCTTTTCCTCTCTGGACATCGGACTGGTGAAGAGCGGCCCAGAGATTGCCAACTGGTGTTTTCCGTTGTCAGGCACAGGGAAATTTCACATTCAGGGAAATATAGCTTTCTGGCCTCTCTTGAGAAGTTTAAAATGGGGCCCACATTTCCTCCTGGCCATAAGCAGCTTCATTTCCTTCCCTGGGTCATTTCACTCTCCCAGATAGGGACCTGCCAAATGCTAGTTGCAATCCCTCCTTTAATTGAGGTTCCTGGAGGCGTTCCCTTCGATGGCCACGAAGGGGCAGTGCAAGCCCGTGGCCCGTGCTGGCTCCGGAGGGGTCAAGGCAGAGGGGATGGAGCCCAGGGGATGGATGGTACCTCCCTGCCCTGCCCCAAGTGCTACTGCGCAGGCTGGGGTCTGGGCCTGGGCCTGGGACTGGGAGCCCGACCCCCCGTGGGGTGCTCAGGGTGCTGCCCTTTCAGGTCATCGTGTACGAAATGGAGAACTTCCAGGGCAAGCGGTGCGAGCTCTCGGCCGAGTGCCCCAACCTGACGGAGAGCCTGCTGGAGAAGGTGGGCTCCATCCAGGTGGAGTCTGGGCCGTGAGTACCTGGACCCCCAGTCCCCTCCTCACAGCCCCAAACCTCCTGGGAGGCAGGAGGGCCGGGTTCCCGTTCTAGATCTGCTCGGGGGATCGACTCCATTCCCATCTCCGGCCTCAGTTTTCCTGTCTATCAAATGGGGATAACAGCAGCATGTACTTCAGACAGAGTTTTTGTGAAAACGAATGGAAAGATGCACATAAATAACAACAATAACATAATAATAAGGTGAAGGAGAAGGAGGGAGAGGAATTTGTCTTTGGATTACCTACTATGTGCCAGACACTGGAAGGATGTTCCCGAGCACTTACATGGAGGCTGCATATAAAATAGATTCTCCATACTGTTTCCCGGGATGATTTTCTGGCTCAGTCTCAGCTTCCAGGATGTTCTAGGAACTCCTTTAATACCCAGACCAGGGGTCCGCGGTCAGGTTGGAGGGAGCGTTGAAGGTCAAAGGTCAGCAGCTTGGGGGTCCTTCCTCACTAGACAAGGGCCCTCCCGCAGCAGCAGCAGTGACCCAGGCCTGCTTCCTCCTGCAGGTGGCTGGCATTCGAGCGCAGAGGCTTCCGCGGGGAGCAGTTTGTGCTGGAGAAGGGAGATTACCCTCGTTGGGATGCCTGGTCCAACAGCCACCACAGTGATAGCCTCCTGTCCCTTCGCCCTCTGCTCATCGTAAGTACCTCCCGCTTCAGGGACCTCCTAGAAGCTTGTCATCCAAGCTCTCTGCAGAAGCTCAGCAGAGGGCGGGGCTGGTACACGTCCGGCTTGCGAAGGGACCTCTTCATCTCCAACCTGAAAGATTGCATGGCATGAGAGGAAGCTAGCTATGGTCATGGGGCTGGGGGTTGGGACACGAGGATTCACATCTTGAATTCCCAGCACAGCATTGACACTTCTCTGTGTAACCCTGTTAAAAATCAGAAGCCTCATGGCCCAGCCTCGGATCAGTATTGTGCTCAAAGCAACACATTCAGAAAGTAGCTTCAGAAAGGAACTGATTCTTCACTTGCCTTTCCCAAACACCCAGAAGGGACTCGGTCCACAGTGACACTTTTAAATTGTCACTCTGCTCCCCTCACCTGCTTCTTCCACTCTCGGTGGCCGCTCCAGCCCTCTCTCCTTGTCACAGTAACCGATGCCTGCTTGGATGACAGCAGGAGGAAAGCTAAGAAGACAACATCAGAGCCTGATTTATTGAACAGGGAATCCTCCTCTGTTATTGACTTTTATCGCCTTCTGGCCTCTCTGTGCCTTGGTTTCCCTATCTGCTAAATGGTGGGGTTTCACAAGAGCTGAAAGGCCCCCTCTTGGTGTCATGGATGCCTGGCTCTAAGTTTCCTAAGGAGAGTGGCTCTGGAGGAGCTGCCCCTAACCCCTGTCCCCTGTGCGGGCCTCTTGGGAATCCTATTCCTCAGGCAATGGGCTTGGTGGTGGGCCTGGCTGTGTGGTCACTGAACTCTTCCCTGCACCTCCCAACTCCTACTCCGAGAGTGGGAACAGCCCGCTCACCCCGTGATCCCATCCCCAGGACGGCCCAGATCACAAGCTGCACCTGTTTGAGAACCCAGCCTTCAGCGGCCGCAAGATGGAAATAGTAGATGATGACGTGCCCAGCCTCTGGGCTCATGGCTTCCAGGACCGCGTGGCGAGCATCCGGGCCATCAATGGGACGTAAGGGACCCATTCCCCACTCCTGCCCCTGCCCCGTCCTCTGGCTCCAAATAGAATCTCTCTTCACTGTGTTTCCTATCCAGTGGCTGCCCCCTGCTCTTCTAGGTCCTTTTCATAATCCTGGTCTTTCTTACCAGGGTAAGAAGTGACATAGTGGTTCTCTAGGTAGGAGCTGAATAGCACATGGGAGAGTACATGGTATATCACCTCCCTCCTTCCAGGCTTAATACCTCTGTTAATGCAATCTTAAGATCACCTTCCCTTTGTCAGTGACTGCATCTCACCCTATGGGCTGGGGTTGAGCCTTGAAGGGTGCCACCTCTCCCTGACAATAATTTATTCAACAGCTTTTTACTAAACATTTTTATGTGCAGAGTAGAGGAGCAACGAGAATTACACAGCCTCTGCCCTTAAGAATTTTAGTCTGCTAGAGAGACAAGGAGACAGGTATCCACAAGTCACTGTGATCAGGATTGTGATGGGGGGGTCGGGGACACACCGGGGCTCTGGAAGTCCCCTCCAGGCACTCGATTCAGCCTAGGGGAATCAGCAAAGGCTTTCCTGGAGGAGGAGACATATAAATTGAGATGTAAAGAATACGAATGAAAAGGGAGAGAGGGCCACGGATGAGACGAGGAAGAGCGTTCCAGGCGGAAGGAACAGCCTGTATAAGGGCTCAGAGACATTCCACTTCAAGGAAAGTAGAGTAAGAGAGGTTGGAGTATGGGGTGTGGAGAAGGAGCATTGAGGGATGAGGCTGGAGATGGTTCGTGCAGGACCTGTGAGCTGGGTAGTGAGTTTGAATTCATCTGGAGGGCACTGGGGAGCCAGGGAGAAATTTAGCCAGGCAGAGAGCATGGTCAGATGCTGGCTTTAAAAGTCTTGGTGTGGCTGGAGGCAGGGAGCTGACCGTCCTCACTCTGACCTTGGTTCCCGGCAGGTGGGTCGGCTATGAGTTCCCTGGCTACCGCGGGCACCAGTACGTGTTCGAGCGGGGTGAGTACCGCCACTGGAACGAGTGGGACGCGAACCAGCCGCAGCTGCAGTCCGTGCGCCGCATCCGCGACCAGAAGTGGCACAAGCGGGGCTGTTTCCTCAGCAGCTGAAGGGCACCCAGGCCCCAGTGGCCCAGGCCCGCCCTGGGGGGAAGCAGAGGCAAGAAAAGGAGGCTCCAGGGCCAGGGTGATGGTCTGCCTGTCCCCCCTTCCCCGGAATCTGCTCAATAAAGCCTGGGGCCGGTCCCCCACCTGCCATGTTCCTCTGTGTCCCTTCTTGAAGGGGCTGGGGCTTTGGGGTTCTGAGAACCCCCAAGGGGGGCTGTGAGCTGGGCTCCTACCCGAGGCTCTGGTTGTTTTTGGCAGAATCACATGAGCAACTTGCACTGATTTTGTGTTTGTTTTCCTGTGTTTCCATCTTTCAGTCTGTCCATCCATCTATCCATCTGTCTATCCATTCTTCCACCCACCCATCTTTCTATCCATCCTTCCATGCATTTTTCAATCAGTTCTTTCCATCCATTCTCCTATTGATCCATCCTTTCTGTCTCTCTCCCATCCATCCATCCATCCATTCATCAGTCAGTCCATCCATCCATCCATCCATCCTCCCATTGATCCATCCATTCTCTCTCTCTCCCATCCATCTGTCCACCCATCCATCAATCCATTCTCTCACTGATCTACCCATTCTATCTCTCGCCCACACATCCATCTGTCCACCCATCCATTCATCCGTCAGTCCATCTGTCCGTCCATCCAGCCATCCATCCATCCATCCATCCATCTGTCCTCCCATTGATCCATCCATTCTATCTCTCGCCCACCTATCCATCTCTCCATCCATCCATCCATCCATCCATCCATCCATCCATCCATCCATCCTTCATGTCCCCATCCAACTCTCTGTCAGTGTCTGTTTTCATGAATTGATTCAGCAAATGCCAGGCCCTGTCTGAAGCCTGAGGACACAGCAGGGAACAAAACAAAGTCCTGCCCTCACAGAGTTCACCTTCTAGGAGACCGACAGGAAACAGACAAACAAGTAGATTCTGAATCACGCTACAGAAGGAAGTGCAATATTATGATGGCAGCTGATGGGGGGTGGGGTTTGTTGGTCAGAGAACTCTGCTCTGAGGCGGTGACATTTGAGTTGAGACCTGAATGAACCATAAGAACATTCCAGGTAGAGGAGTAGTGGGTGTGAAGGTCCCAACCAGGAGTGCGGCTGTGTGATGGAGACTTGGTGAGGACCACAGTCGGTCCAGAAAGGAGTAAGCAGTTGAATGGGGGAGTGGTCAGAGAGGGAGTGGGGTCAGAATAGTTAGGGCTCCACATGGAGAGTCTGAAGGAGGCCAGATATGACTTAACAGGATTCTTCTGACTGTAGAGCAGAGTGTAGACCATGGGGCCACAGGGGATGCAGGGGGCTAAGCCGGGAGGCCACCAGCTGAGCCCTGATGGTATGATCTCTCTGACTGTCTCTTTTCCATGTATTGGTAGCTCTGTCCACCTCCCAGAGGGCTTCTGCAGCCTCAGCTGGAGGACTGAGCCCCCATCCCACCTCCCCCCGCTGACTGTGACTTCTCCCATCCTCCATGCCTTCATCTGGCCGAAGGGGGATGCCATGGCAGGGCCAGCCCTAAATGGGGGTCTCCTCTGGCCCCCATGGGATGAGGAGGGAGTGTCCTCTCAGAGAGTCAGGTGACAGCTGTCTTCCTGCAGTCCCAGGGACCTGACTTCAGCCTTCCCATCTCCATGAGCCTGTCCTGTGTGCTTCCCTGATTTGGTTCCCCTGTTGTGCCCAGAGCCGGTCCCAGCCACCTGCAGTGTCCCCACCACTGATGCAGCTGGTGTGGGGTGGTCTGAGGGAGCCTCAGGAAGGCGCTGAAAAGAATACAGCAATTGTGGTTACTTAGCCTACATATTTAAAAATATATATGCACAGCTGAGCCATCACCTTGAATTATTTTTACTTTGGGGTGTAGGGGAGAACTGGGTGGGGCATCAGGCTTGGGGTGGAAGGTGAGGGACACTCAGCAACAAGGTGGACCAAGGGCAGGGTTGACTTCTCCCCCAGAAAGGATGGCAGTACCCCCACTCCTCCCTCCTCCCCCTCCCTCTGCCCCCGAGTCTCACCCCCTCTCACAGACAGAGATCTTGTTTTGCTTTGTAAATCAGTCCTTACTCAATGCTAAACCCAGCGCTAGGCTTGTTGGAACTTGATCTGGGTCACTGAACCCTAAGATGACCTTGGAAGGCAGGCACTGTCGCTCATCCAATTTCACAGATGAGGAGACCGAGGCTCAGGGAGGCGGCATCACCTTTCTACAAGAAGGGTTAGAGCTGAGGTTTGCACTCTGTGTGCGGACGCTAGAACATTCGTTCCTGAGCCCGGCTCCCTGCGACGTGTGCCTCAGGGGCAGGGACACATGGCAGAGAAAAAAAATCAATAGCAGCAACAATAATAATAGAAGCCACCGACTGTCCCCACAGTGAGCAGAATATACTGAAGGTTGCTTTACGGTGTCATCTCTAACCTGCTGACAGGCGACACTGATCCCCGTGGGCAGAGAGAGCGATGGGGGCCCAGAGCCCTGAAGAAATTGCCCAGAGCTCTATAGAGTGGTGGGAATAGCACTCAAGTTCATGATGTCTGCCTCCAAAGCTCATCCCGCCCGTCCCCCAACCCAGGCCCGGCCTGCCAGCTTGTCCACTCTGTGGTTGGCCCCCAGGGTTTGCAGGTGGACTGACGCTAGAGGTGGGGTGTCACCAGACCCAGATCCAGGGTCACACCCAAAGCCTCCTACCTGTACTAACCATCTGGCTCAGGGAGAGCTTGCTCTCTGGAAGTATCCCAAGGCATTTTCCCATTCAATCCTCCTAACAGCCTGGGAAGCTCAGAGAGGGAGAGCTGACTGCTGGGGTCACACAGCCTAAGAGGGGCAGAGCTGAGATTTGACCCCAGGCCCATATAACTCCAAGAGGCCATGCTTATCTCCTCTAGATGCAAATTCTAGCTTCTGCAGGGACAGAGTCTGAAAGGGATAATAAAGTAAGAGTATCTCCTGGTGATAAGGGGGTTGCGGGTGAGGGATAGGAAATCACTTTACCTGTTTAATCAAGAGGCAGTGTAGTCTACCAGTTAAAGGAAGCATGGTCAAGGGGTAAGGAGCAGAATGACTGAATGGGGCTCTTGATCCTTACCACTTGGTGTCCTTTCCAGGCTCTACCACTTGCTGTGTGCCTTTGGGCAAGTTGCCTAGCCTCTCTGTACCTTGATGCTCTCATCCGTAACTCGGGACTAATAACACTACCTATCTCATAGATTGTTGTGACTATTTTTTAAGATGTTATTTATTTATTTGATAGAGAGAGAACAGAAGGATTTATTTATTTGATAGAGAGAGGGAACAGAAGCAGGGCGAGAGCGAGAGGGAGAAGCAGGCTCCCCACTGAGCAGGGAGCCCGATGCAGGGACCATGCCTGGGACCATGACCCGAGCTGAAGGCAGACGCTTAACGACTGAGCCACCCAGGCGCCCCAGTTGTTGTGAGTATTAACACGAATGTAATTTGCAGGAAAGGCAGAGAACAATGGGTAAAACAGAGGAACGGCCTGGTAAGGGATAATCTTCCACCTCATCATCGAAAATGGTGACTCTGGAGATGGACTCCATAGTTGTGTGGAGCAGGGACTTCCCAATTACTCGGTAACTGGGGTTTGTCCTAAGGACTCCAGCGCAAACAAGGACATAAGGCAACTAAGCTGCATGGTGAGAATCCAAGCAGCACCAAGGCTTCACTGGGAAAAGGGGGCCTGGGGGTGAGCCAGGCTCATGGAGACAGGACTGGAGCCCAAGGGTTCTTGGGAGCTGGGCAGCAGGCTCTGTGGGCATTCTCCTGGGACCCCAGCCTTGGCAAGCCTCAGCAAATGCATCTCCCACTCCTCAGGTGAGAACTTGCCCAAGCATTCTTCCCCATTTTGTGAAATCATGGGGCCCGTGACGGTGTTGGTCATGGAGTTGGCATCGGTGATAAATCACCACTGGGCCAGTCCGCACGTGCGGCTGTGTTATGTTCAATATGGTTGTTCCGAGGCATGTGAGCATGTCAAATGCGTGTTCTGTTCAATATCACTTTCCTATCCAAACCTGTCTATGATAAGTAGCACAAACACCTCCAATTCCTTTGTTATTTCATCTGGTATAATCACTGTGCTCAAACCTTTCATATTTAAATACGTATTATTACACCTTTCATTTTATTATTCCTTTATATTATAGACAGGGCACTTTTGGATGAATTTAATTTGAAAGCAAGAACATATGGGGATTATAGGATCAATTTTGTTCCAGGAAAGCGGAACATCGCAAAATGAACATCATGAGAAGGGAGTGTTGGTTCTGATGGAGTTGAGAACTTTTCCACTTGAGGATCTCGAAGGTTCTTAGCTCTGGTTCCTGCATCTAAGGAGTAAACTGTGTTTGGGGACAGTAAGGCCTATCCTCTTTGTAGCAACATGAGGCAGAGAGGAGGTCCAAATCTTCTCTTCCCATGTATCAGTCAGGCTATGCTGGGTAACAAACAGCCCCCAAGTCTTGGTGGTTTAACAGTGATGGTTTATTTCTCATCCTGGGTGACATCTCTAATGCTGGTCTAATGCTGGTCTTCTTCACCCAGTCATTCATAGACCCTATGAATGACTCTACCCTCTTGTAACAATGCATCTCAGGGCAAGGGAAGACAAAGTGCTAGAAAGTCTGTGATAAAATGACCAGACATCTGAGACATCTCAGAATCCATTGGCCAGAATGGATCACACAACCTCACATCATTTCAAGAAGACCTGGGGTAACCTGCTCACGGATACACCTAATTGGCTGCTTTCCCTTCCCTGCGGATTGCTCCTGGGATCAATTCTCCAATAAACTACCTGCCTGTGAACTCTTGTCTTAGCGTCTGCTTCTGGTAACGCCCAGACTAAGACACCTTTGCTCATCTCTGTATTTCTTATTCACTGATTAATTTGAACAGTCAGCAAATACCTTCTGAGCACTTACGTTGTGCTGGGCCCAGGCAGGTGCCAGGGGTATGGACACGGCTGAGCTT